TAAATTTGCAAATCTGTCACCATTCCCTTTCCTTTCTCCCAATCACTCCATGTCGTCTCATGATAATTTCATATTTGGTGTTGTCTATTCTGACTTTGGTGTTTAGATCTCCCATCAGAATGGTGAGGTCCTTTCCTGAACACTTCTCTATGATTGATTTATGCCTCTCGTCAAACTGATCTTTGTCGTCGTCGTTACTATCATTGGTGAGTGCGTACCATTAGATAATATTCATTGTCATTCCCTCCTTGTTTGTTTTGAAGGATGCTTTGATGTTCCTGGATCCATGAGTTTCCCATTGTATGAGTGATTTTAGTGCTCCTATGAATAGCACCAGAGCAACTCCCTGAGTGTGTGGAGCATTTTCCTCTTTGTGATCAGAGTACCGAAGCATCACTCCTGTATTTAACCTTTGTTGTTCAGTTTGTATCCAGTGGGTTTCGCTGATTGCGAGTACTGCCAAGTTGTATCTCCTCATTTCCGTGGCAATTTTACTGGTCCTCCTGGTCTCTCACTTTGTCCTGACGTTTCATATGCCTAAACTTATTGTTGCTCTGGTTGTTAGAAGGGGTATCCATCTGTTGACTTGGTAAGAACCTTGTCTTTAACCATGAGGCATCATAATTGTTCTGAATGAAGATCACTGAATTCGGAGGACAGAGTTTAAATAATTGAATTTGATTAGTCTGTTTAGCATTTTTAGAACGGTTGTTTTCTACGGGTTATGGTTGCTAGCTCCATATCCAACTCTCCTTTTTTGTTTGGGCTTTGTACCGACAGCGTCTCTAGAAGATATAAGTGCTAATTTATATAACACAATCTGCAACCAATATAATAACAATACTGTATAACTTCCGATTTCATTGTTTGTTTATTTCTAATGTTATTAAGTAACTAGTCACTTTTTTATAGTTTTGAGCACCTTCATCATAAAAAAAATCAAGCAATTAATAAGATATTGGTTTGATGTGAATTTCGTTCTCTGTAACATTCGTTCCTAGAACATTCTTTTATACTAATGAGCTTTAAAATCCATTTGTACGCTAGCTATTTCAGTTATGTATGATACCCGGTGTTTAATAATTATTGCATTTAAAATCTTTGTATAACTGAGTGCATTTGGCTAAAAACCATTTATTGCATTTTTAAAGGGTGAAATATATCTTCATATCTCACCGGTCTTTCTCTTCTTTTTAATGTCGAGCCACCTAACAGTTTTATTTTCACAAGTCTCATATTCAGTTCCCTAGTTATAACACCGTTTTATTAATATACTTTACCTTACATCTACACCAAAGTCTTTTGATTTTTCACTGTTTGACTAAGTGTGGATCAATAGTACTGGTTGGATTGTGATACTTCTCATAAACATATGAAAAGTGGTTTTAAAGATCTTCGTATAAAGACAAAGACAGATAGACAACTATTTTGCACAGGTTACTAAGTGCTAAAAATAAACTGATTAGAATTTGATATAAATCTTCTCCTTGAAAGGCTTCTTAAATAATTAATCAAATAATAAACGTTTTACTGCTTCTAACGAGTGTATCACCGTAAGACATTTGTTTTTAGTTTTACGTCATACTACTTTTTATTTATAAAGTAGTTCGAAATATCTAATCAGTTTTATGGCTCGATCGTAGTGATTCATAGTAACTAATGATAATTCATAGTCGCAACAAATCATCTTTCCCTTTTTTAAGATCCTTGTATTGATTGTGCACTAAAAACGTTTAAGAAGAGCGTGGGTAGTGCATTCAGTACACAAAAGTTGGTGTAAACGCTATACGATCATTTATTCATGTAAACAATCATAGAGATGAATGTTTTGGCAAAAAATATCTATATATGGCCAGTTTTTTGACGTCTTCATAAAGTTTTTAAAAAATATTTGTTAATAAACTGATAAACGTGAAACCAACAAGGTGTTTTAAGTTGTTCTCAGGAAACATTCTTTCCAAAACCCCAAACAAATGTTTATTTAAAGTCAGTTTGATCCCATTTCAATAAAATGCAGATACGACCAGTCTAATGCAGTTGTGAGTTAATTTCAATCTGATACAATCACTGGTGATTCCAGATCCATCGTCGATAAAAGTTCAGTCTAATTACAAGAAGGTCTAGTTGTGGTATTAATTCAATAATACGTACTTACTTACGCCTGTTACTCCCAATGGAGCATAGGCCACCGACCAGCATTCCCCAACCCACTCTGTCCAGGGTCTTCCTTTCCAGTTCTGTCTAATTTTTATCCATTTTTCTCATGTCTGTCTCCTTTTCTCGGCGTAATTTGTTCATTAATACTATTATTTCAATATGGTTGATACCATTCAATTCTATAGTACTTCCATTCCTTTAATTACTGTTATGTATCCCACTCAATTCAGTTACACTGAAGAACATTATTATCAGAGTTTTTACCTAGTGAACTCATCCACAGTCATCGAATTAAAGACAATGGTTATTTTTTCAGCTCAATATGCTTTACTAGTTTTCTATATCCCCTACAAACGTTTTTGAAAAGTGCTGCGAGTTTGTAGTGACTTACTTTTATCACGAGAACACGACTGGTTTAATGAAAACTATTATTATTATGACCAATTGTACCAGTGATTGTTTTACTGTGCTCGTTTGTTTAACTGTGCTGATGACAGACATATTGTGCTTCCATTATTCTCCATTATTGTTTCGCGGTTAGTGACTCTACTCGCACGTACTCCCTTCTGCTGTTTCTGCTTGTATCACTTCTTGGCACGATCTTGGTATTCATTCGATATCACGAGATCGCCAATCAAATAAACTTGGTTCTATTCTGCCTTCTGATTTATTTGGCACGTATTTCTCAGTAGCGGTGTTCATAGTCAACTGGGACTCGACACCACGCTACAAGTTAAGCTTTTTAAATATATTTTGTAAATGTCCTCATATTACTTTCTTTTTCTATGGATAGACTTTTAACTAATAAAATAGTCTTGTTGGTTATGTTTGTAGGGTGTTAAATAACAGAATAAAAATCAGTTGTTTAGCAGCATTTGAAGTAGTCTTCAATAGTGTGAGACTCCTTATTTACATGATGGACAGTCTGACAGTCTCATTCCTGATTGTCTCTGTTTATATTGTCTGCTTTACTAGCATGTCTGGTTGAAGCACTCTGTTCGAGTATGACGGGCACGGACTAGCGGGTAAGCCAGGGATTTTCGCGCACACGTTACATATTGTCGTGGATTTTTTGTGTCGTTATTTATCAGCTATTAACAGGCTTTTTTGCATGGCACATCAATTTCTGTATTGCTAGTGCTTGTAACATAGTTTTATTCCAATTTATTGGGAGTTTGACGTATTTCTTGCTCACCACGTAAGTAAATCTGAAGTTAGCTTAATATAGTTATTTGTAACAATACAAACTCAAGCAAGTAAAGTTCACCGTTTTTCTAGTCAAAAAATACACCACAGATTGAGTTTTAATGAAAATTAACCGTAAAATCTTTTACATATGGTTCACCTCCTTGATTGCGGTGACGGTGAACATGGATGTCGGTAGTTGTTTATAAAATGTAAGTAGAAGCAATCAAGCGTTAACCTAATTGTGAATATTATATAACTTGCTTGTATTTAGCCATAAAAAGTTATATCTATTAGAGGTACCATTGTTTTGTACTGAAGTGACATAATTATGTAACGTATCTAAGAAAAGAAATATGTGAGTAACAATTGACTTTTATAGTGTTGTCCAGCGGCTTTCTGAACGTCTGCAGTAATAGTGTATAACACCACATCAAGTAGGAACAAAATCTTCATGAATAAAACGATCGGTGTTTCTTGTGAGAATGGTGACACAACCATGTTTTTTAGTTAATACTGATTTGTGAGGTGTCTGTTATAGGGTTCACAAATGAGTTATTATATACTCTTCACTCCGTCTCGGTAATACAGTTGTTGTGTTACTTAGGAAGTTATGAATGAATGTCACTACTTGTTAATAAAAGACTTATAGGCACAGTCTGTTACTTGCTATTTGAATAACTTATTGAATATGATACTGAGAACAAAGTTTAATTGTTTGTCTCAAAACGGATTTGTTGTTTTTCAGAATAGTATGAAGCTTATGGAATTTAGAATTACGGAAGATCGTGTGGAAAACCGGTTTACAAGTTTACGATAACTGTTTTATATTACCTACTGCTATGCTCATTCATCTAATGAATTATTTAAATATAAATATAACAACCATACGCAGTGTTTTATATTATAAATCCTGTAAGTTTGTATAATTATGGTCTAAATAAAGCCAAAACAAATATTGACGCAGAATCATGTGACTGCATTACATTTCGTGGTTTCTCATAAGTTGCATACAACTGAATATGCATTATAATTTAAGATTGAGGGAAGAAATAGTATGAAAGATAATAGAAAGCAAAGAATTGGAATGACCTAGGTTATCAATAATAACTATACATATGTATATGCTTGAACAGGTCAAAGGTCATTTGGTGTTAGACTTAAGGGAACATAAAGGATGGGTGGTGTAATAGTCGAGTGAAGCTCAGAAGCATATAAGATAAATTGTGTGATAATTCTAGATGTAATGAATAAATCAGTGAATTAAGAACTAATAAGATAAGTGAAGACAATCTGAAGAGTTAACATAATTTAGCAAAGAAGTGTGAGTGGAAAGATGGTCTAAGGATTACGTAATCCATCTTATCAAGGAACTAGCTGCATGAAATTGTCTAGTTCCATACTAATACTAACTTGATAATGGACGTAATCTGACAACGGAAAATATGTAAGGCGGTTTAGTCTGTAAGGTTTTACGTGGAAGTCGCATTATTGTTTTATTTGACTCGTTGATTCCTCACAATGAACAACGATATAACGCTAAGTTCTAACGACAGTTCGTAACTAATACCGTAGTACAAATTCTTAATTTTCACACACAATTATTCGTTAAAGCGATTGGTAAACCTCCCCATGAAAGTATGAAGAAGACGAAAATAAAAAATGAGAAAAAGTTTATTGATTTTTCATGACTACTAAAGTGGAAAGATAAGTTTACAAGTTGTATAAATAGCCACAAAGAACTGTTAATCGTAAACCTGCTGTCTAGCTGTTTATAATTCTTAAGTAAAAATTGTAGACTTTTCTCTCCACCTGATTCGCGAAGCGTTCACCATATTTCTCAACAATTTGTTGTTTGCACATTCTTTGGAGCCGTTGAAGTTGTATATATTCTTTACTCCGTCTCGGTAATGAAATTCCTGTGTTGTTTTGTAAATTGTGCGTATTGTCTAATTTCCATCTGCAGCAACACCTAAGAAGTTGATGAGCTATGCAGTTTATATTTTATAATTTAAATAGCTTACCTGTTAGACTTCGTCTTTTAATATATGCCAGCAGGAGATGGCGGCACGGATATCGACACATATTAAACGTGCTACAATTGCATTCACAAATACTTACATCCACTTCGTAATGAAAGGCGCACAAAATAATGTTTGCATGCCCGTGCGTTATACGGACAGCCGCGCTTTCAGATCGTGCGAAATCCATCACAAATGTTTCTGTTTTGGTCGTGTTACCCATTATCTCCTTCAATTTATCCAAAACCCACGTAACATCGGCACGCTTTTCTTTTTGTGTCCATGCAAACATAACAGTTCGACCTCGGCCCCAATTGTCTGTCACCACTAACTGGAATAATGAATATCTACATAGTAGAACAAAACGAAAATCATATTCACTTTTTATTATTAGTTTTATAAGTAGAATCAATACACACGACTTCGGGATATTGACTGTACAGCCGTATCTGATCATAACTGCTGAAGCATATCGCCGTAATACATCCATTTTCTGCATGCTCTCTAACTTCACCGTTTTGTCGCATCATCTGCAATACCTGCTTCCGAGTCCAACCTGAAATATATTTATATACACTTACCAGTGGAGAGTTCAGCTTTCATATTTTTTACATCAGCAGCGGTCACCTGCTTACCTGTTCTTTCCTTAATACTTTCGATAACTTCGTCCGTCGACTGACAGTGCAATATAACTGGTTTCAAGTTTTCTTTTTCTTCTGATGACAATCGTTTACTCAACGGATCACAAACCATCCACGAACTAGTACACCGATGGTTGTGAGACATGTTGTAAGATTTTATAACGTATTGTTGACCCTCCAATCTTACGCGAAACATCGATTGGCAATTTAAAAATTTAGACCTTAAATGTAACACATTAGTTAGAGTCCTCACGGTTTTTTATTCACATTCAGACCTTCTGATTTACGTTTACGACCAAACGTGCAACGAAACACTACGAACAAGTATTTATATCTCACATCCTTCAACAATCTACTTTCTGCGTGAACATAGTGTGTATGGGTTATCTGAGAAAACATAGGTTTATCCTATCATACTTTAATCCAGCTTCCGAATCTCTTGTTCAGCATAATACGTTGGAACGCGTCGCTTACGTTCACTGAAATTTCACTTGAGCATGAAGCACTAGAGACAACATACAATAGTTATTAAAAAAAGGTTATTCCTTGAAAAAAATTAACTGAAGGAGGAACAACAAATATTTCGGACTTACCCTTCAGTTGACATTTCGTCTTAACTCACAAAAACTAGGCGCATCTATAACCTTTTACGTTATTTTATCTTTCTTACGTTGTTTTCTGGACCTTATCAACAAATTATATATAGCTGTTGACTTTCACTACAGCACTTAGGACCACAGATCAAGTTTCGAAGGAACAACAGAGCTAAAGTGTGCACTACAAAACAGAAAATACTCAGTTAATGCTCTTAGCAGTTATTTAGTGTTTATTATGCATCAAAAGATGACTTATATATGGAAACATTTAATACTCATAGGACCCAACACACACACGGCAATTGAAATACGGAATGCCCGCTTCCAGTCAGCGCGTTCAAGGTCGTTGAAACGAAACGGCGGACAGATTTGAAAGGGATTAGATTCAGATTCAGATTTGTGTAGTAAGGACAGAAGGCCTACGGCCTATGTTATTCCTTTTCTAGTATGCTTCTGTGAGTGTCCAGTCTTCTCTTGAAAGAGTCAATTGAAGGTGCGGATACCACTGCTTCAGGCAGCAGGTTCCAAGTATTGATGACTCGGTGTGAAAACCTGTATGCCAGAGGTATTTTGTTCGTTCTTGGCTTTTCTACTCGCCTACTATGTCCTCTGAGGTGTCCCGATCTAGTGGGAAGAAAGAGAGAGAATAAGTTAGGTCCGAAATCATTTCTCAGTATTCTGTACATCAATATTAGATCTCCCCTTAGTCTGCGATAGGACAGAGTAAAGAGGTTCAGTTTTTCAAGCCGCTCTTCATATGATAAACCCCGGAGTTCCGGAATCGCACGCGTAGCTGCCCTCTGTACCTTTTCTAGTATGTCTGAGTCACCTTTTAAACAGGGGCTTGCAGCCTGAACACAGTTCTCTAACTTAGTTCTCACTAAGGATGTGTATAATGTGGTGAACATGGTAGTATCAAGCTTAGTGAATGTCCTTTTTAAAGCCCAGAGGGTTCGAAACCCCTTAACTGCGACCTCCCGGCAATGGGCCGTCGTCTTAAGATCATTGCTCACGGTCACCCCTAGGTCCTTATGAGACCGGACTACGGGTAATGACACATCTCCTATGTTGTACGTATTAACCTTTGAATCCCCCAAGTGCATGTAGACACACTTTTCCGAGTTGATAGGCATTAGCCACTCTTTAGACCAGTTTATCATATTATTTAAGTCCGCCTGAAGAGTAAATGTGTCTGTGTCTCCAGTTATTACTCGCCAAATTTTTACATCGTCAGCGTATAATAACATTGGAGACTGTACTATACTTGTAAGATCATTAACGTACATTATAAAAAGTAAAGGACCTAGGACGGAACCTTGGGGTACTCCACTAAGTACTGGTCTCCAGATGGAGCACTTGGAATTTATTCTTACTTTTTGCCTACGACCTACTAGGAAATCCTTAATCCATTTTAAAAGAGGTCCGGCAATACCAAGGTTTGCCAACTTCAATAGCAGTCTATTAGTTGGCACCTTGTCAAAAGCCTTACTGAAGTCTATGTAGACAACATCCACTGAGTTTCCGTTGTCTAGCGCATTAATCCAGAGCTCCCTAGCTATAAGGAGGTTCGTTGTACAGGATAGACCCTTTCTAAAACCATGCTGTGCCATGTTCAGCAAGTTATTGGTTTCCATAAATGCTGTTATGGTCCGTTTGATTATCCTTTCCAGTATTTTAATAACAACACTGGTGAGGCTTACGGGTCTGTAATTTGATGGAACTTGTCGTAGACCAGTTTTATGTATGGGAGTGACGATTGCGTCCTTCCAGTCCATAGGTAACACACCTTGGTCAAGTGACATTTTGAATATCACAGTCAGTGGGGCTGCGATATATTCGGCAATATGTCTCAAGATTTTAGGGTGTAGTTCATCTGGTCCTGTTGACTTCTCCATGTTTAGGGTGCTAAGAGCCTTAAGCACATCGTTTTGGTCGAAGTCCACGGTGAGCAGCTGGTTTGTTGACTCTGTAATTGGGTCTGGTTCTTTCTCTAGAGGAGGTTCCTGAGTGAAAACTGCCCCAAAGTAGTCAGCCATAATCTCAGCTTTTTCATGATCTTCCTCTATCATTTCAGATTCACTTCCTACTTTAATTAGGTTGGGAATCCAGTGATGAGTCCTTGTTCTGTAGTTTATGTACGAGAATATCCTCTTGGGCTGCTTGAGAGCAGATTCTGCCAGCTGCATTTCGTATTTTCTTTGCGCTTCCCGAATTTTCGTTATACACACGTTTCTTATCGATCTGTAGTGTTCCATCGTATCTGCTGTGCCAAGGCGGATGGCAACATCCCAGCATTTCTTCTTTTGTCTTAGTAAGCGTCGAATATCCCGCCCTAACCAGGGATGTCCGTGCTTCTTTTTCTTTGGGACAGTCCAGGGTATATATGGTTGAGTTACCCGATTGTATAACTGTCTGAATAGAGTCCATGCCTCTTGTACTGATGCCTTTGAGTCAATTTCCCAGTTCTCAGCCGATGCTGCGGAGTCAATTGCCTGCATATCTGCCTTCCATATGTTAGGACGGGCCGGCGCAATTGTTTGAGAAGCAATTTCAGCCATGAATTTGAATAAGATGACTGCATGGTCACTTCTCCCAAGTGGTGGGAGAAAAGCCGTTTGACCAACGTCCTCACCGTGTGTGAAGACTAAATCTAAAAGAGAGGAAGAGTTTCTTAAGTCGTATCTTGTGGGATCTCTAATGTGTTGGAATAATGCTAGTCCAATCGAGGTTTCTAACAGTTTGGAGTCGAACGACGATATAGATGACTCTACTTCTAAGTTAACCCAGTTTATATATGGTGCATTAAAGTCGCCTACTACAAGGCTTTTACCGTTGTTACACCAGGACTTAAGTTTACTGAGGAGAAAATCGTCTGCTACACATTCTGGACTGCGATAAACTACAACTAATTCAATATCTTGCCTTCGGCATTTCAACTTACATCTCACCAGTTCACATGTCCCTGAAACATGTGCTACTGTCTCAGCTAATCTTATGGTTAGGGTACTTTTCGTGTACACAATAACCCCGCCTCCCCTTCGGTTTAATCTATCAGCCCTAGTGTTTATGAAACCAGTCAATTGGATTTCACTATCTAATACTTCTGACGTTAACCAAGTTTCCGAGACAGCGATAACGTCCGGTTTTTCTTTATCCACCACTGACTTCAGCTCCGCCATTTTATTTAGTAGGCTGCGAGCATTTGTGTAGCACACTTTTAAGTCTGTGGAGAGCTTTCCCTTGCCACCCAGAGTGGCTTGGGGATCGTTTTGCTCCGAACTTTTACAATCTGAAAACCCTTAAGAACGAGGTTTCTTTCACCGTTTCGGCGACGCTCGTTTATTTCCGCTTCTGCAGCCCTTCTCTTAATACGATCAGCTAGGCTGAGGTCCTCACGGACATATATTCCGGACCCAATCAGTTTACGTGAATTACTTAGAACCAGGTTCCTTTCTTCCACCGTGTTGAATGTAACCTTTAGGAGGCGGTTTTTCTGAGGACTTTCGGAATCCACCTTTTTTCCTATTCTATAAAGCTTACAAATACTAACTCCTGAAACTGTATCTGGGAGTAGTTTACTTAATGATGTCTTAATATGATTGAGATCATGTTCAAATCTTGTCTTTGGTTCAGTGTCTGAAGATTCTCTTATCTTATGAAAAATGACTGATCTCTCAGTGAGATCTATCTTTTCACGCGGTGAGGATTTTTCTTCTGATAAAGTCCCTTCCAATGTCTTGCTGACCAGCTGCGTTTTGCCTACAGCCTTTTTCTTCTTATTTTTTTTTCTTCTTACCGGAGTCCATTTGTCACCACTCAGAACAGCCACACCTGGACTATGTGGAACGGTGATAGTTTTATCCTGATCTTCTATTTCGACTAGAGGTGTATGACTGCCGATGTCAATATCAGGCGACACTTCATTTCTCGTTAATGTCAACGGAGATTTCACAATCCCGTCAACCGCAGTCAGGTGTTTAATGGGTCTAGTAACAGCACTTACTACACTGACACATTCTTCATCGTCAGTACTCCTGTTATCAGTGCTTCCGCCATCGTTTTTCTTGCAGGCCAAAGCCAATAGGCCCATAGCCTCCTGTATTAGTACCTTTTTATCCGTACAGCAGAACACACAAAGCCAATGCGAGTTAGGCTTCGAGCATCTTTTGTAAGCCGTCGGACTTAGTCGTGTACACATTTTGTGATACCACTTTTTACAGTCGTCACACTGCATTCCCTCCTCAACGGAGAACAAACAATTTGGTTGCCCACATTTGTGAGTCTTACCAACCATTGTAATTCGATTTAAAAGGTTTAAAAACAAAAAACGATAACAATGTGAACACAAGTCTTAGTCAAGGACTAAAAACAGGTACCCAGGACAAAATGTAGCAAAAAATTTCAAACTTTAACCAAAGAACTCTTAGTTAAAGTAGACCAAGAATGCGTTTTAGTGCAATAAGTACCAAAAGCAAGTGTAATCACAACAAGTACAAAAATCACTGCCCTTTTTGAAATTCCGCGCGTCACAATTACCGTTTATACCTTGCCAGTATGACGTTTAGATGTACTTGGCAACCATGTTGTCGTGTCAACCAATTCTGATTTCAATCACAGTAGGACCAAAATAGCTGAATCATTCACTGAAACAATATGTTATAAACTAACTCAGGAATTCAATATTGATATTCAAAATATTCGTAAGTGTTCCCTTGTATGTGTTGGAAAGTACCCCATTCAATAACTTTATACACCAACCTCTTTTTGTTTCACTTCATATGCTATGATTCTTATGTCGTCCTCTGTATTCACGTATATTACGTCCATAATCTTGGACTTGTTTGTATTTACATATTATTTTAGTGTTTACGGATTCTGAATTTGACTGATCCTATGACATCATTGAGTTGTTAGTAACTGTTTCATGAGTTGAACAACTGAAGCTGAAGCCCTTCTTTTGATAGCCGGTGATTAATTGTGTAATTATTGCACTTCTTATATCATCCTTATTTTACAGTTGACTACTCACCTTTGGAGCGAATCGAATTAACCAATCTCTTTTCTTTGGGTAGAATATTTTTAATTATCCGATAGGAGTGTTTTTCAATCGTGATGATTGAACTTTACCAAGTGTTGTTATAATTCCTGTCTGTACTGATGTGAAAAGAGAAACAAGGAAACCATGACAAACAACGAAAGCTATTTTGGGCAAGGTTATTTAACCTAATTCAAGGCTTGCAAAACGCTAATATTCAGTTTATTCTACAAAACACAAGCTTTCGTTCGATGCATGATTCACTGTCATACCTTTCGTTGTTC